TTGTGGAAAAAAACTTTGGACTTTTAAGACATTGGTTTGGCTCACAATTTTGCTCAATTACTGTAGGATATATCTATTTGGATGACATCTACTTCTTGAAAAAGGGGGGGGGGGGGGTCTCATTTTATGGAGCACTGCCAAGCCCAAGCATTTTATCTGCTGGCTGAAGATTTGTGTAGATCAACTCATCTGTGCAGAGCATTGCCATCTGTATCCGTACATGGGATATTCCACTCATCACATGCGTGGTTACGTGGGACAAGACTTGAGGGAATACCTCAACAGAGACATAGCAATGAAATCATACCAGAAGTTGTACCCTTTCCCAGCTCTAGGCAAAACTGATTATATACAATCTAGTCTTCTAGCAATGGCCACGTACCATTCTGATGACACAGCTGCTGGGCCTGCAATGATGGCAGGAGTGATGACAATGACAAGAAGGTCATCTACAAGACTGGTCAGGGGACTGCTCATTAGAAACCAGAACTGGCGGAGAGGAAGATCACATGACTGTGGATTAAAGTGGTTGTAAACCCTTACATTTGTGGCCTCAGGTGCTACACAAAGATGAAACAAATCCTCATTCATAGGTTGTACCTTTTTATCTGCAGTAATCTCTCTCAAAGTTCAGAATTTAAAAGCTTGTCTGAGAGTTCAGAAAAATAAAGGGGGCTATGAGCTAAAGTTCCACTCTGCAGAGCTCAGTGAGGAGAGCTCAGAGAGTTGATTGGAGGGAAGAGACCCCCACCGCCTCCACACAGCACACAGGAACAGAGCTGAGGCTGGAAGTCCCTCCCTGTCACCTTTGTTCTCTTGGTGTCAGGAAAACTTGTCAGAAGTGATTCATGCAGATAGTAGAGGAACAAAGCAGCAGACAGAAATGACACTTAGCACTCTGGATCAAGACAAGTACACACTATAGAGGCATATACTTTGTTTATATTTCATGTCCGAGATTTACAACCACTTTAACTCCACCTACAAATAATCCAGGGAAACACATTCCCTTACTGATTTTATTAGATTTGACTTTTTACTTCATTGCCCTGTATAACACTATATTGCCAAAAGTATTGGGACTCCTGCCTTTACACGCACATGAACTTTAATGGCATCCCAGTCTTAGTCTGTAGGGTTCAATATTGAGTTGGCCCACCCTTTGCAGCTATAACAGCTTCAACTCCTCTGGGAAGGCTGTCCACAAGGTTTAGGAGTGTGTCTATGGGAATGTTTGACCATTCTTCCAGAAGCGCATTTGTGAGGTCAGACACAGATGTCTGACGAGAAGGCCTGGCTGGCAGTCTCTGCTCTAATTCATCCTAAAGGTGTTCATCGGATTGAGGTCAGGACTCTGTGCAGGCCAGTCAAGTTCCTCCACCCCAAACTCACTCATCCATGTCTTTATGGACCTTGCTTTGTGCACTGGTGCGCAGTCATGTTGGAACAGGAAAGGGCCATCCCCAAACTGTTCCCACAAAGTTGGGAGCATGAAATTGTCCAAAATGTCTTGGTATACTGACACCTTAAGAGTTCCCTTCACTGGAACTAAGGGGCCAAGGCCAACCCCTGAAAAACAACCCCACACCATAATCCCCACTCCAACAAACTTTACAATTGGCACAATGCAGTCAGGCAAGTACCGTTCTCCTGGCAACCACCAAACCCAGACATGTCCATTGGATTGCCAAACAGAGAAGCGTGATTCATCACTCCAGAGAAAGTCTCCACTGCTCTAGAGTCCAGTGGCGGAGTGCTTTACACCACTGCATCCAATGCTTTGCATTGCACTTGGTGATGTAAGGCTTGAATGCAGCTGTTTGGCAATGGAATAAGAAGGGCACATGTGGCATGGGGACCAGGTGGGATCGGTGAGAGGCTGTGGGCTGCTTGACTGTGTATGCAGAGCCCAATTCTCATTCCTGGGGATGTCCAGAGCTGTGAAGGTGTGTGTCTATCTCTCTTGATGGATGGGGGGTGGAGGCTGTATGGGGGGTGATAGAAGGCTCTCTTGGCCGGGGGTGGGGGTTGGTTGGTGTTGGTCGGTGTCAGGCTCTCTCTGGGAAGTTAGAGGGGGCGGCCGATTTTTGTGTTGCCTAGGGCAGCACAAAACCTAAATACGCCACTTATGGTACCACGCTTGAGTTCATTGAGCTCCTGAGAGTGACCCATTCTTTCACAAAGGGGTGTTCCAATACTTTTGGCAATATAGTGTATGTATGCTTGTTTTTCTACACTACTTCTTCTTTGGCTAATGTAGCTAACCTTGGAGGAGATGACCAATATACTCTTCATTGTACAATAACTTACATGTCTGATAACATGACTATTATACCTTGTTCTTTCTTTTCTACTTTTGTACTTTTAAAGCTACAAAAATGTATAGGAAAAAAAAAACACTAAACTGTGTGGCTAGTTGTCTTGAACTCCTCTTTAGCAATGGAATTGTTTTCAAACCTGGCTGTGTATCCCTTTTAAGGTGAGAGATTTAATTAGACCAGGTGATTCAGCAAATTCTATGAAATGAATTTTTTAGTTCCAGGAATAAAGTGGCCATGATTCACTTTGATGTAGACATCTGACACAGGAAACAACACAGATTATTTTACCGCTGTGTTTGAAGGTAAACAGGCTTATAAAGACTATTTTAACAGTGACAGCAGTGTAACTTCCACATACAGTGAAGTCCTGAGATAGTGTGACGGAGAGGCGCCTGTGCATATTATATATGTTTGGTGTCAGTTACACCATCCTTCCTAAAGACTGACAGGTCATAAATATACAGTATCACAGGCCATTGTGACTTTTTTAACAACTTCGGCTGTTGTGTCCCTAATTTGTATAGCATGAATAAATGAGCTTCATTTCATTTAGAGTTGCGTTTCCCTTTTTAATCTTCTTTTAAGTTGGTTTCTGCCTTATGGGCAATAAGAAAAGAAAAATTGTGTAATTATAAATCCATTAACAAGAGTGACATGCTGTGCATTGCAAGCTGTAGGAACATGGTGAAATGTGGTATTAAACCCCAAAGTAATAATTTATTATATTGCAGCTGACCATTTCATAGATGTGATGGCTACATACATTTTATTTTTTAAGCTTGCTTTCTTTTATTTTTCCCTGGTGATCGGGCCAATAAGTCTGATGTTTTTTCAACAAAGCAAGCTCTCTTGCAATTGTATCAGTTGAGTTTATATATTTATATATTTTTTTTACTTTTTTCTTTTTTTATTACATTTTTTACATACTGTGACCTGAGCAATACAGTGTTACCTTAATAACACTGTATTACTCTGGGGAGGTGATCAGAAGTTTTTTTTTAACACACTATGATTGCTTATAATAGTGATAATCACTGTTATAAGCAACCTGTTTTTCTGAATGAAATTCATTCATTCAGCGTATACTATTGTGATTAACTGTGATTGACCACAGCCAACCACATGGTACAGATGGGCTTTGACTGGCCCTGTCTGTATCATGAGATCACTGTGACCAATCTCAGAGATCAACACAATGAATAAATAATGAATGGTATGAATTGAAGCCATCCATTGTGTACAATTGTAAGGTGATCTGCTGTGATTGGTCACAGCGATTACATGTTACTGGTAGCGGAACACTGATCTGTCATATTACACCCAGCAGTCATATTACAATAGGCCAGGTGGAAAGCAGTTTAAACACTTAATTCTGAGCACTTCAACACTCCTCAACGATTGAAAAATCGAGACTGGTGGTGCCAACAAGGACACCCTTGGTTTTGATTTCTGCTAATTTAGCAGAAATCAGCCAACATTTGAGCCATCTATGGCAGCTTTTAATTTGCATACTTTTTAGAAGCAAGGATTTAAGCCTAGTACAAACAATCACAAAATCGTACAACAAATATCGCTTTTGAGACTGGTGGTGCCTACAAGGCCACCCATGGTTTAAATTTCTGTTAATTTATGAAATTATTTTCATATGAAAAATACCGCTTTTGAGACTGGTGGTGCCAACAAGGCCACCCTTGGTTTAAATTTCTGCTAATTTAGCCAAAATTTTAACCATCTATGGCAGATTTTAATTTGCATACCTTTTAGAAGTACGGATTTAAGCCTAGTAAAGACAATCAGAAAATCATACAAAAAATACCGCTTTTGAAGCGATCGTACAATAATCCGATCATTATTAGTCCTCATGTACACTGGACGTTTTTACAGTGGCTGTTTTTGGCTTTTGACGGTTTTTTCCTACAGCTAGTAAACTCCTCAGCATGTTATCCTATGTGTCCATGCACACACAGACTGTAATCAGCATTATTTGGGTGGGATGTTTTTGGCTGAAAAAAAAACCCAGGACTAGTGGGTTTCTAGAGGAATTCTTTTAGCTGTAAAAATGCTCTAACGCTGAAAAATGCGGCAAAATGCGGTAAACGCATTTTTGGACTTTTTTTGACCCCCCCCAATTTTTTTTTGGGGTAATAAAACTGCTAAAAAAAGCAAACGCGGAAAAATGCAGGAAAACACCGCTAAAAGCAGCAAAATGGCACTAAACGCTAATGCAAAACCACTAAAAAAAGCTAAAAATCTCATGTTTTGTAACGTGACTTTACACAGCTAACGTTACCAGCGTTATCAAAACATCCAATGTGCATGAGGACGTACACAGCTTTCGTTCAAAATTATTTGTAGGGACAAGCACGGAAATGTTTCTCGTACGATACCACATCGTACAATTTTTGTTGAATCGATACAGTGTTCATCCAAAAATGCAATACAAATACATTAGTCTCTTCCAAATGTTCTTTCTGTTGTACGAGAATTTTCGTTTCTTTAGTAACCTCTTCACTTTCGATATGACAATATTCTCATTGTGTGTACTGGGCATTACTTTAACCACCTCCCGCCCGCCATATAGTAATATGACAGACGCAAGGTGGTTCTCTCGTTCTGGGAGGACGTCATATGACGTCCTCTCATTCTCACCGGGCATACGCGGCGATCGGCGGTGCGCTGTGACCCTCGGACACAGCGGATCACCGATCATGGAAAGAGCCAAAGATGACGGCTCGGTCATGTGATCAGCTGTGTCCAATCACAGCTGACCACATGTAAACAGGGAAATGCCGGTTATCGGCATTTCTCTCCTCTCGAGCCGTCACGCTGAAAGCTTGAGAGGAGAGGAGAGTCGGTAATCGGCTTTCCGCGGAGGGGACATGTACACTGATCATCAGAGCACTGATGATCAGTGTGCCCTGATGATCAGTGTAGCCCCAGCAGTGCCACCTGTCAGTGTCCATCAGTGCCTTGTGTCAGTGCTCATCAGTGCCTCATGCCAGTGCCCATCAGTGCCACATCAATGCCACATATCAGTGCCTACCAGTGCACATCAATGCCACATATCAGTGCCCATGTGAGCTGCCTTTCAGTGTCACCCATCAGTGCCACCTATCAATGCCAATCAGTGCTGCCAATCAGTGCCGCCTATCAGTGTCACCTATCAGTGCCACTCAGTGCTGCCTATCAGTGCCAGTCAGTGCCACCTATCAGTGTGCATCAGTGCAGCCTATCAGTGCATGTCAGTGCCGCCTATCAGTGCCAGTCAGTGCCGCTTATCAGTGCCAGGCAGTGCCGCCTATCAGTGCTGCCTATCAGTGCCATATATCAGAGCCATGTATCAGTGCTGCCTTTCAGTGCCCATCAGTGATGCCTGTCAATGCCCATCAGTGCCAACTACCAGTGCCTCCTCATCAGTGCCCATCAGTGCCACCTATCAGTGTCCATCAGCGCAGCCTATCAGTGTCCATCACTGCACCCTCATTAGCGCATATCAGTGAAGGCGAAAAATCACTTATTTAGAAAATTCTATAGCAAAAACTAAGAAATAACTTTTTTTTTTTTCAAAATTTTCTGTGGTTTTTGGTATGTTTAAGAAAAAATAAAAAACCCAGAGCTGATTAAATACCACCAAAATAAAGCTCTATCTGTCACAAAAAATTATAACAATTTCATATGGGTACAATATTGTATGACCGCGCAATTTTCATTCAAAGTGCGACAGCACTTTAAGTGCCCTGTAGGCTAGCGGTTAAACAAAGATCAGTCATTTGCTGTATGCTAAATCAAATGATCATTAGTTAATCTATCCTAATGATCAATGTATTGTGTTGTATAAACAGAAACATTGCTATTGTACACAATAAAAATCTGTTTTGGTCATAACTTAAAACCAGTTTGACATGTAAAAGGGAGTGGATGGAATATTGTAACAATGTGTAACAGTAAAAGACTAAACACGGACAAGAAAAAACATTTTGCTGCAGTGTACATGGACAACATAGGGGGATGTTGGGTGATAAAAGTTATATAACACAGGATTTGCAAAGCATTATGGGATTTCTTCTTCTTCTAGATTTCAACATCCCTGAAGCCGCCCTCAGATTTTTTTTTAAAACCATATACATATTTTATTTTCCTGCACTCCTCAGGTGGGTCTGGTGACATTACAGGCCCTATTCTTCCTCAGTAGTGGTGTGTGATTCTTTTTCCTGGACTGAATGGCACTCATTTAATCAGTCCCAAAGCACTTTGTCTGTGTGATGATACACCCTCAGGTGGTGTGTACATGACAGTCTGGGGTTTAATAGCAAGTGCGTTAGATGACGAAGAGAGTCACTTAACCCAGAAGTTGTGCAATGCTGAATCTCAAAGCAGAAGTCTGCAGGGGGAAGTGCTGGGTAGAAGGTGAGTGTTGCATCCTTTTTTTTTGAAGATGCAAAGTAGCTTGTTTAACAGAAAACAGAAAATGGAGCTCCACTTTATAAGACATCAAAACAGAAGCTGTTTCCATTCAGACTGCCTCTCTTTAATTGAAATCCATCGTGTAGTGAGAAACAACTTGTACTACTCTGTATGGACAAGGATGTAAAATCCTTCTAGGGGCAGCTGCTTAGTCCTTCTAGATCACTTCAGGCTGGCCCCTATTGCAGGTATAGCTATGTAAAATATTAAAAATAAGTGCCTATACTGTTTAAAATCCAGTAATACACTATCTCACCCTGCTCTGCACATGCTCAGTTGCTCTCCATGTTTAGGCATTTGTAGGTACTGCCAAATTTGTACAGCCTTACCCCTAGGTCACATCAAAGTCGATTTTGAAATCGTGAGACTTACAGTGAAGTCGCACGATTTCAAAATCGGGTGAACTGCCGATTTCATTGCGATTTGCAAGACATCTGACACAGATGTCTATGCAAATCACAATAAAAGTAGTGCATGCACTACTTTAGAAATCTGTACCAAGTACATGCACTTTAACAACATGCACATCATAAAACAAAAGTTTCGACACCTTTGTGCTGCTTGGGAAACAGCATATTCTAACCTGGAAATTCGCTTTAATATATGTCAATCTGTGATAAAGGCATGGGGGGGGGGGGTTGATAGAGCACCCTGATTTCTGAAAGTTCTATTTATATATACAGCAATATACATAAACAGTCATTTCATCTCCAGCTTGAGTCATTAATGTTTGTGATCACCATAATACGAATTTGGCGCGGTTCCGAGCTCATGATCATTTTTTGTTATTTGCCGGCACAGGAAAGCTCAGTATGTTTTATTAATAGGTACAGTATGAAGGAAAATGAAACCGCAGTTTAATGTTACCATTGTGCGCTGATATCGATAATGTTATTGTAACGTGCGGTTTTTCATTTCCCTTCGTTCTGTACTTGTAAATAAAACATACTATTTAGAATCTGAATTATATGTTTGACAGGGTCTTTGTTCTGTGTTGTTTCCAGGAATGAGACAATCTTATACTCCTAATAATGGAGAGACTAGGAAACACATGGTCATTTGCATGTCATTTGCACCTGTTGTAGACTCCTCTTAGTAAAAAATAGATTCACAATTTGTATTCTGAAAATGCACGCAGTTTTGTGTGTTTGAAAAGCACATCATACAATGTGTGAATTAGGCTGGCCATAGATTATGCAATTTTCTTTACTTCAACCAAGGGATTAAGGAAAGAACATTGCTTGATTCCCTCATCAAGACAGTCACTGATTATGTTGATTGGGGGAATCACTCCCGTTGCTCTATTGTATTCTGACAGCAAGAGGTTTCCCAGCCATTAAAATACAATGATCACTGCTGGCGGCTATAGCCACAGCAGTCATCGTGCAAAAAAAACCTGACAGGCTGGTTGTACTGTTGATAGATCGACTTCAGTACAACCAGCCTGACCATAGAAGGATTGAAATTTGCTCAGTCCTTGCTGAACTGGATGAATTTCAATCGGTCTATGACCAGCTTCTCGGTTCACACTACTGCTACCTGAAAGTCACGCAACTTGCAGTACGACTTTGCCAGATGACTTGAGTACTACTTTGAAGCGACTCTGAAGCAACTTTCAGGGAATGCCTGGGTAATCTTCCTGTAATGTCGGATCCAAATCACATCAATATATATGAGGATCTGACTTGGAGGCGACTTCTATTAAAGTCTATGGGCACAAGTTGGATAGAATTCTCCTTGCAGTAGTACAGGAACCTTTTCTAAAGTCGAAGTGACTTCAGTAGTGCTAATTAAGTCTCAGTTCACACTACTGCTACTTGAAAGCCGTTCGACTTGCAGTGCAACTTTGCCAGGCAACTTGAGTAATACTTTGAAGCGACTCTGAAGCAACTCTGAAGCAACTTTCAGGGAGTGTCTGGGTAATCTTCCTGTAATGTCAGATCAAAATCAAATCAACAGGGGCGGATTGACAACTCATGGGGCCCCCTGGGCAATAGGGGATCATGAGGCTCCTGTGTCCTTGCCCAAACTCAAAAAATCCTATGAAAAAGGTACCAGGGGCCTCTTGTGGAGCCCCCTACTGACCCCGGGCTCTCGGGCAGTGCCCGAGTTTCCAAATGGTCAGTCCGCCCCTGCACATCAATATATATGAGGATCTGACTTTGAGGCGACTTCCATTAAAGTCTATGGGCACAAGTTGGATAGAAGTTGCCTTGAAGTAGTACAGGAACCTTTTCTAAAGTCAGAGTGACTTCAGTAGTGCTAATTAAGACAGCTCTCATTGACTAACATGGGGTTTCACATGTCATGTGACTTGGGGTCTCACAAATCGGATCCCAAGTCGCGGCAGTGTGAACCAAGCCTTAGTCTGCAAGGGTCACTATTTATTGTTATGCTGAAGTTACTATTTCATTCATATCTAGGTCAAAGGTGTGGCTATGATCTGCATATGACATTGGTTAAAAAACCTTACAAGTAAGGTAAGAATATTCACATTTCTTTTAGCAAATATTATTTTTGATATAAATGACCCTCCCAGTCAATATTATTCATCAGCTTAGCATGCCTTAAGAGCTATTGAGCATCTCTTACACTAGGCTCAGATCTTTGCGTGTTGGGAACATGCACAAAATTGCGCACTTATCCTGACATGCAGGGAAAAATGGTGCCCTTTAGCAGATTCACAATGGTGCTCTTTATTGTTAATGGCAACCCTGTGGATCTGCAAACATGCACATTTTCATGCACCAACCTTCATGGTGCCACTTGTATTTTGGAAACGAGTCAGGGACTTATTCTCTCATAGGGCAGACCACTGAAATTAATGGGCTGCCCTACACGCGATGCACAAAAATGCTCCAGAGCTTGGTTGTACCTGTACCTGTGTGGATTTCCATTGCTGGATTCACAGGTTGTTTCAGACAGTTGCAGAACCACCTGTGACGCAAGTTGTTTGTGTTCAAGGATGATCATTTGTCTCTAACCGCTGGTAATCACTCCATGTGCGATTACATCCAAACTCCAATGCACAGCTGTCTCTGCTGTCAGCCTGTCATTGCTTTGTATGGGCTGAGATACTGAAACTGTCTGCGACCACCTGTGAATCCAGCCCCTGGATTCTTGCTGCAGCTGGAATAAAAATGCTGCATGAATGAGATTTAAAATGCCATTGAAGCTTAATGAATCAGAGCCTTTCCTTTAAAGATCATCCATGACCATCCCTTTCCCAAAGGAGCTTACAATCTTATGTCCATGTCACCATCTCGCAGACTCTAGAGCAGGGGCGGACTGACCATTTGGAAATTCGGGCACTGCCCGAGGGCCCGGGGTCAGTAGAGGGCCCCATGAGATGCCCCTGGTACCTTTTTCATAGGCTTTTTTGAGTTTGGGCAAGGACACAGGGGCCCCATGATCCCCTATTGCCCGGGGGGCCCCATGAGTTGTCAGTCCGCCCCTGCTCTAGAGCCAACTTTAGGTGGAAATCTGTTAAATGACTTTGGTTACTTGATGGTTTTGGTCTGTTGGGGTATCTGGAGTAATAGAGAGAAATCACAAAAACAGAAGAGAACATACAACCCAATGCAAATAGTCTGTTAATGAAAGCTAAGGCCATGACCCCAATACTGCAAGATAACCTGTTAGCCATTGAAAATATTGGCATAACCCAAAGTCTGGCTCTGTGGCCTACAAGC